GTAGTAGTAGTAGCAGTAGCAGTAGCAGTAGCAGCAGTAGCAGTAGTAGGAGTAGTAGTAGTAGTAGTAGTAGTAGTAGTAGTAGCAGTAGCAGCAGTAGTAGTAGTAGTAGTAGTAGTAGTAGCAGTCGTAGTCGTCGTCGTAGCAGGAAATCCCCGCCGTCACTTGAGCAGGGATGAGCAGGGTGATGTGATTGTATCTACGGAATTCATTAATCCTATCATTCCGATTTGATGATAGCGGTGCTTCTGCTGGTGCTAGCATTGGCATTGGCGCCAGTGTTGGGAGCGATGAGAGCAATTAGTGCCGCTGTTGAAGACCAGATGATGCAGAAGGAGGCTCGTAATGACGAGACAACTGATTGTCCTGAGAAGTTCGAGCTACAATGACGTCGGTGAAGCAATAGCAAGCTAGGCTCGAAAACGACGAGGGTGTTAGAAGTACTGTCTCTCATACCGAATCTCCAGAAGACTATTCAGCCATATTCAGCCTACAGCGTCAACAATCACATGTCACATGCAGCAGTAAACGAGCGCATTAGCAGTGATAGTGCATCATGGAAATTACTTGTAGCAAAAGTTTTTGACGTTGAGGTGTACTGACAGCAAGCATCAGCCTTAGAAGCCATATCTACAGCACGGACAAAACAAGCCCAGTTAGCATGAGGATAGAGTACAGCATGCTGCAGAATACGCTCTTCAGGAAACCTGCGACGAAAGGTCGCACATGGTAACGTATGTTGCTTGTGTGGCCATTCTGTCAGGAGAGGCGGGCGCACCCTCTCGCCACACCCTGACCTCCACAGGCGTACACGCAAAGTATTAGTCCGGAAGCCATTGGCTCACTCCTCAGTCTTAGACTTGCGATTGAAACGGTGAACAAGATGCATGCCCACTCGTACTGACAAGAACAATCGTCGAACGACGCGTCGAACGGAGGTCGCAAGCCTCAGAATGCTGATGGCAGAGAGCGCCTGACCCGACAACTCGGGTAACACGTCCCAGTCGCTTACACTAGCCTACTCATAAATCATGAAGCCCGGCACCGCCCCAACACCATGAAGCCGAAAGAGAGGCCAACAACTGACTCTGATAAGAGCCCTAGGCCGTTGTAGCATCCGCCTGCAACCCAGCACCAAACTCCGGTCAGCCAAGCCCTTAAGCCCAGATCCGCGCCCCCGCAAGGGGCCTTTCCAAACCCATTCACTCGTTCTCTTTGCTCTCCGTGTGCGGGCCAGCCATGGATGAAGTCCGCGCGTTGCAACAGCAGCTCATGGAGGCTCGTATCAGGGTCCGGCATGTAGTTTGGTCTTTTGATTTCAAGACGGCTTCAGGTGCGGGTTGAGGGCTGCGATTGTTTGCACCGCTGTCGTAAGAGCCGACAACCCTACAGTAAATCCTGGCTTCCAAACTGCCGGAAATCCGAAGCCGCGACTTTATGTCGAGCTTCTCGGATCAGGATTCTCGTGCTTGACTCAACTCTGGCGTCTGCTACCCTGACGTGCTTGGAGTTCCCTCGTCCCCGCCTCATGCAGCCCTAAGTAGGGCCCCCAAAAAGCACATAAGCAAAAACTAGGATAGGGATATCTGATATCCCATATAACTCCCCTGATAATGAAGCCTAATAGGGTAGGGATATCCCTATAAAATGCTTATGCCTATGTTCCTTTTGGGGTTCCTAACTAAGCCCTAAACCAGGCTCAGCGGGCCTCCAACATGCGCAAGATCTCCGAGCGGAACTGTGGCTCGGACACAGCACGAAAATCTCATTGCGAACGTGAGCCCGGTTTCAGGGAACAGGAGCAAAGGGTATGCCAGTAGTACCCTAAACCCAAAACCCTAA